TATTATACACAGTGTACTTTTTTGTGGTGTTTAGTGAGATGTTGCATTTATCGGCATAAGTTTGGAAAAGTTTTGTAAAGTCTCTGTTGCTACTGGTCTCAAAGCCCGTTGTTGTCGCTCAGAATGTTCCTAATGCCTATAAATATATGTATATTTAGTTTATAGTTTATATAATAATATAGCTGCAAGTATGAAAAACATGGAGCGCTGTGAAAAATGTTTTTTGTTTTCCTGTGTGGTACAGAGTTTGTTACTTTTGAACATTTTGTGATATACGACTCAACGCTGCTGTCTGTTTGGAATGGAATACGTCGTAGAGTCAGTTGATGGTCAGTATTTTCTACTTCACCTTGACCTACATATGCTCATCATATCAGATAGGGCGGTGGTCAGATTGTTAGTTCTGATGTCTCTTGTGAATTAATCTGTAATCTTCTCTTTTTCCACGTGCATGTTTTTCCATTTCGAAGTCGCTGTGGCGTTAACCTGAAATGTCGAAGGGGGCTTGAGCGACAGGAAAGTTTTATCAGGGTTACTATGATAGGTGCATAGTTATAATGAATGTGCCACCTTGTGACTCTCTCTCAGCTGTAAGGAATGTGCCACCTTTTGGCCCTATATCACCTTTAATGAATGTGCCACCTTGTGACTGAAAAGGTGAGAAGTAATGATGTCTCGGGTGGAATCTAAGTGCCACCTCTTTGACTCTATCTCAGCCATAAACAAGAAATGAAATTGCCACCTTGTTTAGTCTGTATATCTCAGTTGTAAAAAAGAATTAAAGTGCCACCTTTTTGAGTCTATCTCAGCTGTAAACAGTAATAAAAGTGCCACCTCTTTGACTCTATCTCAGCCGGGCCACAAACAAAAAAATGAAAGTGCCACCCTTTTTACTCTTTCTCAGGCGTACACAATAATTAAAGTGCCACTTTAAAAATTCTATCTCAGCTGAAAACAATAAGGTCTTTTAAAGTCTGTCTCAGCCATTCTCAGCTGTAATGAAAGTGCCACCTTTTTGATTCTATTCCCAGCAGTAATGTAAAATGATAGTGCCATCTTTGATCATAATCTCCGCTCTAATGGACACACCACCGTTTGTTACCGTGGTGCTTGGTTCTAGTGAACAGAACACCTCTTGTCTATGTTTCAGCGGTAACGAATGCTCCGTATGTTATCTCTGTTTCAGTTGTAATGAACATGATGCACCTGTTGTTACTTTGGGTTCTAGATAAAGGAAAATGCCACTGTCTATCTCAGCCGTGATGATCTCGCCACTTGATGTTACTTCGGCGTGTAGCTATAATGAAGGTGGCACTTTCTGTTTTTTTAGTGTGAAGCTATAATGAAAATGACACTTCTAGTTACTTTTTGATATGTAACTGTACTGAATGCGTCACCATTTATCTCTATATCGGCTATAATGAGCACGCCACCTATTGTTCCTTTCGTGTGTAGCTGTAATGAAAGTGGCACTTCTTGTTTTTTTGATGTGTTGTTTTTATGGAAGCGGCACTTCAAATTACTTCAGCGTGTAGCTATGACGAAGGTGGCACTCTTTGTTACTTTGGTGTGTAGCTATGTTGAATGTGTCACCTTTTTGTCTCTGTCTCAGATCAGTGATGAACATGTTGTCTGTTATTCCTTTGATGCGTAGCTATATATAGAAAATGAACATGGCCTCTCTGATAGATCTGTGCCTCCTCATCATTTCTTGCATTCTCTTCACTTGGCACTGCCTCTCCGAACCTGCCTAAATATGTTGGTGGGGAGGGTTAAAAGATTTACTCTCATTTCAACTTTCGGAGCCCATGTAACAGTACTTTCTGGTTCATGACGGAATGGGTTTTTACTAAATGTTTACGTTTTGTATGAAGAAATTTTAGTTTCATATTTTTTTGGAGCGTTTAGTTTGATGATTTACTTGTTGAGATCTGTCAAAAAGGTCGATTGTGAGGGCCTGAGTTGTTACGTTATTGCCCCCATGCAATTCCATGCCAAAAAGATTTTTTCATCCTTTTTTTTTTTTTTTTTTTTCCAAAAGGAAACGAGATATTGTGTACTCTTTCTGATTAATTCTTTCCATCGAAGGGTTGAACGTCCTTCTGACTTGTCAGGTTTCAAACTTCGTTATGTTATAAGGGAAGGATTGTTTGATCTGCTGTGTTAGCCTATCAGATAAATGAAGATGATGTGTGGTTAGACACTTTGCCGCCGCACGCAGGAGACCGGAGTTTGATTCCAGTGGGGGGGGAGAATCTTTAGCGGGTAAACTTCTCTGTCTTTTTGCTGGGACGTTGTTTCCCTCTCAGCTTGGGGTAGCCTCGACTGACAGGATTGAAACTTGCCACGCCAATATGATGTAAATTGTGTGGATGGGAGCATATAAAAGCTCGTTCAATAATAAAAAACATTGAGTAATAAATACTGCAGATGTAAGATAATATAAGATAAGATAATACTTTATTATTCCAGAGGGAAATTTTTCTTGGCTGTACTGGACCGTAAAAACATGTGCAGTTGTACATAAAAATTTAAACTATATATTACTCTCATTAAAATTCAATATGAAAAGAAAAGTAAAGCTGACAAATGTACATATCACCTCAGATGCATCATTCAACCACATGCAGGAATTTAATTACCTGTCTTCATGAATAACTCCTGTTTGAGGAATATCCTCGTGGGTCGACTTGGAAGTGTTTCTTCTCCCCTGCCGTCCCAGGTCAGGGTCGTCTAACATATGTGAAGCAGCGTGGTGAAACTGGGCGCTCGTCAAAATAATGAAATCGAAGAAAGCAAAATTGTTTTGCCGTTTCGGCAATTTTTTATTGAATTTTGTGTTTTGGGCTCAACATTGTTGTGTCCATTTAAAAACATATTTCTGCATTGATTTTACTGAAAAATGTTGATAAGAGGCATAAAAATGTAAATTTGCTGTTTTCAGGGACACTATGGGTTTTGTAATTCACCCAACTTTGGTGGCTATTTTTTCGCTAATTGACACCAGATGACCCCCAGCTTCTTCAATGGCAAATATCTCTACTTCCATTCAAGGTAGATTGGTGTTTTTTCATCGAAAGCCAGGCAATTGAATAGGCTTTAAGATGATACCAATAAGTTAATTTACCCAAAATTGATGAACGAGTGATTCCAACACGTGACGCATTAAAAATTTTTTACTTAACATTGATTTACACAAAGAATGTTATTATGCCATTGTCAGCCTTGTTTACAGTGCTGATATCTTTATTCATCTGTAAGTGTTTGAGACAGCTGTGACTAATAAAATGTTTTGAAGAGTACAGAGTGCACATTTGTTGTGTGCAGAACTTTTGCTGGCATTTTTTACAGCTTGCTTTGGTTCTGTTGTTGGGGCTTATTCTGTTCTTGTTCTTGATTCTGTTTTTGTTTGATTCTGTTCTTGTTCTTGATTTTGTTCTTGTTCTTGATTTTGTTCTTGTTCTTGATTCTGTTCTTGTTTTTAATTTTGTTCCTATTCCTGTAAGCCAGCGGTTTACATAAACTAAGCCCAAAGTTTGGAAAAGTTGTTTTTATGCAGTTTTTTAAAATCTTAATCTGTGCTGTTGGCTGCATGTACTCTAAAAATATTTTGTCAAAATGCAAGTTCTAGATATTGAAAAAAAAAAAAGCAAGAAAAGTATTTTTTATAAAAAAATGTAGGTGCAATTGGTAAAAGAATGATACGGTTTTTTTCCTCTCTTCTGAAAAATTTTGCTTTCTGGGTGGTTGATGGGTTTTCTGGCCTGATTTGCTCCTTTCCTATAAAATATCTAGGGAGTGTGCTTATAAAATTTCGCTTCCTTTTTTTGTTATTTGTTACTCTCTTGTTACACCTCTAATCTTCTGCACTGTATGACCTAATTGTGTTGCAAGTGCTGTAAAACTCGTGTGTGAACTAAAGCTTTCTGGACTTACTACATGTGAAGAGCTTGCTGAGTTTATGTTTTGTATTCACATGAAAACTGATGAGTGTTGGAAAGTGGTTTGTGGAAAATGACTGCGGCCACGTAGAGCGAGTCTGTTTCTGTCTTTGTTCTGTGAACTTTGAGGGACACTTAGCTGTGTGGCCACTGTTGGAACAATTTGTGTCACAACGCAGTGGAATCAGGCGCTCGTCAATTTGGGGGCATGTGGAGTTATTGGTATCACCTTACAGCCTGTCCATTTGC